ATACATCTATGTTGCCATCTTTAGTTACTTGTTCTATTTTCAAACTGTGTAATGTCTAGTTTGGTTTTTCAAAATTAGCAAATATAGTAGCATAATTGCAAACAGGTCATTGGAAGCTCTAGATAATTGAGCGAAGAAAAATATTACAAGACCACAAAATAGCGAAAACATAACAGAGCATCATTTTGAATCAGGATAATTAAACAATGGAAGTACACTGAGGAAATTGGTGAAGTAATGTTGGGAAATCGTTAAGACGGAGTAATATGATAACGCAGTAGCACAACAGTGCGACTTGAGTCAAACGTAGTTGGAATAGGGTGGTGAGTAGAGAATTAAAACTAGAAAACTGCAATAGAGCAACAAGGATAAGTGCAGCGGAGTAACGAAGAGAAAGGAAAAAAGTTAAAATAATAGTAGCAGCAACGAACTTGGGTTCGGGATAAATAGACTGTGAATTTGCTTTAGCTTAAATTGGGAAAAGTGACAGGGTATTGCACACTGTTTCTGTATACTCAGCATATATAGTGTATAACGAAAAATGAATGAAGAAGTTAATAAGTATTCATAAGTAAACGTGGGAGTACGCCGTAGACGCGTTCGCTGGTGAAACTGCGGAACGGAAATCCGGGTAGAAATCCATAAGCATTCTTTCATCCGGAAATAGTCTAATAATATAAGCGAAAATGGCAAAAGGCACAGTTCCCTACCAAAGTAAAATGTAGTTATATTCTATAAAGCTTTTTTTCAGCGTTTGATGTTTATTATTGAAAAAATAAAAATATTTTTATAAAATGGTGGTCCGATTTGCTTTGATGGTCTTTACCTACACATCTCACGAAATATTTACAGTAAACATAATCGCTGTTCCCGTGATAAGAGTTTTATTATTTGGAGGGACTTGCGAATGATTTAATTGGATGGCTTAATTGTTTCTATTGGATCTGACGTCTCTAAGACCGTTTATTGCAGTTCTCTATACTACTTGTTTAAGATTATCTAATATTTTACTTTTCAATTCGTCCATTTTTATGCTCGATGCACAAACTCGTGACCTGTTCGCAGAGTTTTTAAAGGCACGACTATACATTTATCAAAGGAAGGCCTTTTAATATCACTCGTGTCCATTTGTTTGCATATTATTACATAACAATAATATATGAATCTTACATAATTTATGAAAACAAGCAAATCTATTTTATATAAATGTTCCTATTGTACATCGATCTGGCAGTTCATGTTTTTATTTGTGATGCTTTGGCAAGCAATAGTGAACGTAACAACTTTGTTTGCAGGGAGAATGGCTCATTTAAAAGGACTATTTATTACATATTTCCCTACGCGTTCATTATGTATTATTATATTTTGTCTTTATAAAGAAGGTATTCTCTTGGTTTCTATCCCACAAATAGAAAAATAACAGATACTGTTGAGGCTAGCTTATTTGAAAATGACGTCAGACACAATTAGTGTGTTTCTGCGCTGTGTGATCATTATGGATATTTATATATAATAACAGTATTTAAGGAGGAACCAACACCGATCGGTCTTTTTATCAAATAAATTATTTATAAGTGTACATACATACGTAAAAACAATTTGCTGAATAATAATTAAAAATTAATTATAGTATTACTATGATCGTTTCGTTCCTAGCTACTTTAATAAACGCGATCAATAAATACTACAAATTTACTAGCTGCTCGAAGAATTCAACAGTAACTGAGTTAATGAATTTGCGCCAAACAAAACAAAATATTTTTTGCTTTAGTTATAGACCAAATTACTCTAAAGGACTATAAAAAAATTTCATTTCTTTCTCACGTAAGTAACAATTAGCATTAAGTGAATTGCTTTTCTGCAATTAACCTACCGTGACGGTAGTGCTGGCAATAAAATTTTCGTGAGCCTTTATTATACTTAATAAGAAAGTGTTTTTAAAAAAAATTTTTTTAAATTTTATAAAAAAGATCCCCCCCCCCCCCCCCCCAGTATGTCCAAAATGTATATATTGAGGTCGTGAATTGATTTTTCTGATTGTCATCTCTCAGAAGACGCAGGTACCAAAACGTTAACTTCAATCACGACGAAAAGGCCGGCGGTGACAAAGCCGAATCAAGAATCTAGAATGATAACGGAGGTAATAACGACGATTGTGCCGTCAACGACAACGACGACTGTGCCGGTAACGACATCGACAACGACGACGATGTCGCCGACGTCAACGACAACAACGACGACGTCACCAACGGCAACGACGCCCACGTCACCGACGACAACAACAACGACGACACCGACAACAACAACGACGACACCGACGACAACAACGACTACAGAAAAGCCCTCTACTCCGCCAACGACGCCCACAGCATCGCCAACATCATCATCATCAACAACAACAACAGCATCACCACCGACTCCAACGCCAGTTCCCAACCCGAAGATACCGGCACTGGGAAACTTCACTCTGGAAAACAATGCAGGTAATTTTGTTCGGCGCGTTCTGTTGGCCTATTCTATTGAACTGCCCAACCCTAGCTTTGTTTGCGCTTATTTTGACAATATACGCGCCAAGTAGGTCATTTAGTTGCATTATATTCTAAATAAAACCATAGTGAGTGTTTTAGGCAGTGACAAGTGATCTGATTTGAAAAAGGCAGATCGCCACCTACTTGATACTGAACAAAACTTTAATATACACGTAATCACAGAGGATTGCTTTTTCAATATTTCTCTGTTGCTACATGTAGAAAATGATAGTAATCCATAGGAGTAGTGAGACTCTACACTATAGTGCCCTGTGTTGGGCATTTTGGTTATCGTTTATAATTAAATATGCGTATGTTTCCATATAGGTTCAGCGTTTCCTTATTGCGATTGTTACGTTATTGCGATTTTGACGATGACAAATTTTTCGTTGCATACAATTGCGAATTGCAGGTCAAATTTGTCTGATCGTTCAAACGAGAGTAGCGGTCGCGCAAAGACTTAACAAGACCGAGCCGTACCATTTAAATTTCGGAAATGGAACAGTTTCCGAAGCTAATTCAAAATGCGGAAAAGAAAAGATTATCCTCTGGATAAATTTCGTTGAGCAAAATTCGTGGATTCAGGTGACTTTCCTGAAGACTAAGGAATCTTACTTCGTCGGGGATCTCGCGGTTAAAACCGATCATGTTGAAGCTACTAGCAACAGTAAGTTTGGGCATTAACGGACCCGTTATTTTTGTTTTTAATGGTGCTGTAGTTTTTATATCCTCTTTTTCCTAAAGGTGATACCCACGAAGATAATTTTGTAGTATGACTATATTTGACTTGGAGGTGTCGCATTTTTTACAAACGTGAAATTAAGCAAATTTTGATATCTTCAAAAGCATTGTTATTGTTATTAGCAGCAGCAACTTTTATTTTCAATTCATTGTTACACGCGGCCGCAGCTTAACGTTTTGTGTTAACCCCACTGAAATTAGCCATCCTAACGCCAGAGTGCTATCAACATTGATTTTTGTAAGTCTAAAGATCTGTTCGTTCAGTTTGGGGCTTGTAGATGAGATCAGTATGTACAACAATTATAACAGTAATGAGACAATTTTAAATATCAACATATGGATACATTTAAAATTCTTTTACACATCTGCGATTTATTTTCCAGATACATTGAGGCAGTTCGAAGTCGCCGAGAACAAGTACTATAAATGCTCTCAGGCGTCTGAAGTAAGTCTTGGTGAAAAGGCGGTATACCTAGTATTCTCTGATATGAAGTACGAGGCTTTTCGTACTTCGAATTCGGCAAACTTCGTTGGTGTCGAAAAAGAGTGCACATCCGACTACCACTCGGATGTGATGATTATTGCTATTGGTTGTGCAATTGCTCTTTTTGTAGTGATTGTACTAATTGCGTACCTAATCGCTCGTCGCAGGAGCCGGCAAAGGGGATATCAACCTGTGTAGTCTAGTCTCAGAAAGTTAATCTATCCAATGTAGCACCTGCTACAGTATGGGTGGACTAGCTGCAAAATCAATATTACTAATTATTAATGTTAATTGTAAAATTTTAGGGTACAACTGTTTTACAAGTGCAGGCTTACGCAAAATCCTAACCTACAATATAGGCGAATAACTAGTCTGCATTCCACTCGGTCAGACCGAGTCGAATGGCAGCCTTCTTAAAATCAGCATAAGTTCACCCGAGTTTTTTTACATGGATATTTTGCAGCTGTCCTAAGCTTTTACGAGCGGAATTTTTCGAAAGATACTGTGTTACACAGGTAATAAACTGAAAACAGACGAAAATTGCGATTCTCCACTTTTACTTTCTCCTTAGGATGGAGTGCACAGGACATTTGTGCCAGCGCAAGTCGCGTTTGAGTAATGTGTAGCTCTTTCGTTTCAATCTGAAAGGTGTGAGTTAAGCACTGATTTTTCCTGAGGGCAGAAAATATTCAGTTGGGTCAATACAGCCCTCATTAAGTGCTATTGATGTATCGCTTATAAAACATCTTGAGTAATCGTCTTTAAAATGCAGTACGGAATAACAAAAGCGATTTCTTCTATATGAGAAAAATACCATCTCTTTTTAGATGAAATGTACTACCGAAGCAAAAACTAGATGACTTATTCGCTGCTGGCATTAAGCTAGAACTACAACACAAGATTTTAGTAGTAAGTTGCCTTCCTGTTTACTGATTATTCCCTTCAGTTCTCCTATGTATGGTCATATATGAACAAAATAATACGTACATTTCTGTTCTTGATTTTTTTACTACCAGAAGCTCCTTTTTTTTGTTCAATGCTCTTTCCGCCTTCTCGTGAAGGCAGTCTATCCTAGGGCAATGTCTAGGTTAGTCTTTACATTGATGGTGTGACAGGGAACGTAATGCCGTGTTTTCGTCATCATCTCCTAGACAAAGTCAGATATTCGTAAGTATCGTCGTCGTGGCATCGGAACATTACGCTTACGCTGTGTCCAAAGTGAGTGAAATGTAAAACTCAGGAAAATTAACATCCCAGTCACTCACATGGTAAGAACACGTAAAATAGCCCTATTTTGGACGCGCTACTTATATATATATATATATATATATATAGTTGGCAGGTCATTTAAACGTTTTAAATCCGTACCTTCAACTATGGGCGAGCTCGTACACTTAGTTTGCAAATCGATAAACCCTTGCCTAAAGCAATTGACGATTTTGTATCAACAATCATTACCTACTGGTGGCCATACATTCATTTTTGATCTATAAGGAAAATATGTAAAAAAAAACCAAAGATTTAGAACCAAGCCGCTTGACTGGCGCTATATGTTTCAGTAGACTTATCCTTCTTCGCCCAGATTACTGTAATCACAATCCAAGCAGATTTTTTTTTATTGTACTTTAGCAGTTTTGTTCTTCAATCTATCCTTCGACCAGGGAAATCTAGAGATGAACCAAATTTAAGATGGTTTGTAGTTAACAAACATACGACTCTATGATAAGAAGGAATACCTAGAAAGTATTTTTTATGCTCCTATGAAGTGACAATAATTACAGGACTAATGGTAATGAAGAACAAAGGGGAGCTGCTAAGTATATATA